TCAATTATTTTCCTAAGGTCAACAGCAAGGTAAATAAAACTGGTCATAATAACAATTAAAGGACTTGGAAATACGTAAGTACACTTAATTTGACCACAAAGATATAAAAGTGAGTACAAAAATAAGATTTTCTGCAGAATTGCGGATTATCGATTCATTCGTTCTCTAAAAAGCTTGCTTCAATAATATCCACCAAGCCTGACGACGTTTCCGCCACGCTGGTCTCTTGGAGCTCCCTTGACCCTCCATCTGTGTTTTCACAGCAGGAATCCCCAACCACGACATCACCTTTCTTCCATTCATCTTCCTCAATCGGAGACACCGCCTCGTCACCTAAGAAGATTCCCGACACAGCAAGGCTCTATAAAGGAAAAACGTGAAAAGCCCAGATGGCCAGCTGCAGTGCATAAGTTGACACAATCTTAACGACAGGTGGTAATACCTTTCTGAGCGACAGTAATTGCATAGATTTGTCGATTGCAGCATCACCAACTACTTCGGTCGGGTCGAATTTGATAACGTCGGTCGATGCAGAAGTGGTGAGAACAACAGGACTACTTGAAGATTCTGGTGATTTTAACCGTGCTGGAATTAGCGGAGGTTGCACAACCTCCTCCGGATTGGCGGAAGTCTGTTTGAAACCAATTTTTGGGTTAACTTTCGGTGGAATTACACATCCATCCTTGAAAACATTGTTCGTAATAGAGAAGTCAGCCTTGCCGCAACCCGGCGCGTTGAACATGGCTCTTTGAGTATCCTTCTTTGATGGTATAAAAATCTCACCTGCTGGTTGATTATACGCAGGTTTTGAGGGTGCATATACCTGTTGCTGGATCTTTTTTGATGCCTCAAAGTCTCTCGCAGCCTCCATCTTGAGAGCAGCCTCGCCCACCTTTAGTCGATTCTGGGCAAAAAGCCTCTCGGCTACAGTTTCTTCTGCATCATTTTTATCCTCCTGCCGACTAAAAAGAATGTCATGATCGGAGATATCGAAAACCAAATCCATCATGGACTTCAAGAAAGCTAGATGAGACTCCAACTCGGGGTAGGTTCTTCGCTCTATAGTGCTGTGCAGTTCAGCTAGTTGCCGTTGCGTAGCGGAGAAGTGCGCGTTTTCATCAAGACTAAACAGTTCGACCAACTCCTGCCGAGTAAAGTAGCGATAGGGATCAGTGACATCGGCATCCACCGGACGATCGGCGGCTGCTCGGCCTATGGTTTGACGTATGACAGAATCTTTGAAGACTTGGCGACGGTAAATCTTCTCTTCAACCGTAGCACAGGTGATGAGTCGATAGACGACCACATTGGAGTGCTGCCCGATTCGATAGACGCGATCTACGGCCTGGGCATCCACTGAGGGATTCCAAGAAGGATCAAGAATCACCACGCGATCCGCTGACGTGATGGTCAAACCCACACCGCCTACCTAGGAGTTATGAAGTATATAAAAAACTTAACAATCCGGTTCAATTCTGGACGTGTGGAACAGTCTTTCAGTCAAATAATCCATCAAATTTTATCCTGACTGGAGAGCCAGATGCTGATCAAAAACAATTTTTAGAAAGACTTAAGAGTGGTTAAAATAAGATGGTCACTTCAAGAGTCAATAAAACTCAGTCTAAATCTCTAGATATGACTCAAATAGTAATGAAATAAATAATTTCCAACCACAGTAATTACATGGCACCTTGGTAAAGAACACAAGCAAGTGTATTTCAAATTTACTCCCAAGCTTCTATTCCAAGGGCGGGTGCTTTTCGAATACTCACCACATGCTTTTACTACATTTACTCAAAGAATGTTCATAGGTGTCACAACTCACCGCATAATGGAAGATTCACTTGAAAGAACATAAACACTACGTGATTTAAGAAAATATCCAAATCATAGAAATCTTGATAATCAAAGCAGACAGACTTTTGTGGGCAAAAAGATGTAAAAGAAACCACCGAAGACTTAGATTTCAACCTAAGTTCCAGGCCTGAACTTCATGTAAACGTTTACCGAACCATTATTGCAGTTTTGATATCTTTAAAAAAAATATTAGAAGGGAGGCATTGTTACCTGTGTAGTCAGCAGCATTGCCGTATAACTCAGATCATCAGCGAATTCCTTGAGTACGGCCACCCTCTCATCCGGTTTCAATTGCCCGTCCAAGCGAAGAATCCGGTGCAGTGGCAGTTCAGAGGAGCGACCGGGCTGCCCATTGAGACCCAAGATAGCTGCCTCCATCATGTTCAGTAGTCGTAGGGACTGTGAGAATATGAGAGTTCGGTGTGCTGGTTCACCAGTTCGCAAAGCCTCTTCCTGAAAGTGCTCCAGCAGCCTCACTACGAAAGCCATCTTTCCTGATTCCTGCAAAAGGACTTTGTGCGAGGGCGCCAGAATTTCACTCCCAGGAAGAGCTTTTGAGACATCCAGCCCTAAATTAGCACATTGGTGGGCGGAGAGGAGACGCGGATGGTCACAGAGTTTCTTTAGAATCGTCAGTTCTACCAACGGAGAGCGCCGTGTATTCCCACCAAAAAGAAATTCCTTCACGTGATCCAGCTTGAGGAAACTGCGGTAAATGTGCTCTTGCAGGCTGCTCAGATACACCCACACCACGATCTCGTTCTTGCATGGCATTGCACTCCTCGTGAACACTGTCAGCGTGTCTTTCTTTGTGCGCCGCAGGAGGAATGGCCCAATTATCTTGTTCAAAGACTCCGCCATCAAGTTTCCATGAAGCCGTTCAGCTGCGGAAGCATCACGCTCCCTGGAGCGGAGGATGGGCTTCTCGTATTGCAAAAGGAAAGTCTTCTGACTACCTAGTAGACAGCCCGCATGGGTAAAATCGAAGAGAGACCAGAGTTCGCGCAGATTGTTCTGTACAGCAGTGCCAGTGAGAAGGAGACGGTGGTGGCAGTTAAGGGTACGCACGGCCTTGGCGACCTGCGTGGATGGATTTTTGATGCGATGTGCCTCGTCAAGAATGATGTAGTCGTAAGTGAAAGCCCGTGCGTAGAACTGGGGATCGCTAGAGGAGAGCCAGGTGGATGGTTCAGTCTGATGGTAGTGCTGGTCGGCGGCGATAACCTGGATGCCACTGACGAGCATGTTGTAAGTGGTGAGTAGGATTCCGCCACGACTTTGGAAGGAAAGGAGGGCATGACGACGCGCGTTCTTGGCCATCTCGTAGTAGATGACAAGACGAATCGAGGGAGACCACTTAGCAAACTCCGACTGCCAGGTCCGAAGGACGGAGACAGGAGCAAGAATCATTGCAGTGCGCGGCTTCTTAGTCGCTTCGTCGGAGAGGAGGTAGCCTGTCAGAAAGGCAATTGTCTACGCATGGAAAAAAAGATGTCGACATTTAGCCGTTAGGTTGGAGGTGAAGTTGGATAAGTTTCACCGAAAAATGCCAGATAATAGAAGCCGAGAAGGCACTTAAAGTGGTAATTTCAAGTCTCCCAATGCTCCAATACTGTTCTGGATTATGCTCACTTTACAGTTAACTTCGTCAGTAATCCAATATGATTTTGGGTTTTTCATGTTTCCAAACAATGAA